CCCCAGTGTGCTGGGACCCACTAGGGGCTTCCCTTCATTTTGGCTGTTTGTTTATAAGAACATGGAAATCCGGCTTTACCCCGTGTGGATTCACTTGCCCCAGATGCCAGAGCCAGGGAGCACACTGACACACCGTCTGTGCCCTCTGTGTCCTCTGTTCTTCCCCCCGCCCCGCCCCGCATCACCACACTCAACCTGTTCTCATTGTCGAGGACACAAGGGCTCAGGGACAGGAGGGTTGGAACGAAGTGCAGACAACTGAGATATTTTAAAAGAGGTCCCCATTCTAGTCAATGCCAGGTGGTCATGGGCTCATTTCCTTTTTGCGTAGGACATTTGAGAAAATATTGCAAGAAGCTTCTAAGAGTCCTTATTATTCCAGCGGTTCCTAGGACTTTTTTCTCCTCAGTGCTCAAAGGGGTTTGGAGATGTGCTCCCGGCAGTGGGGGCTCTCTCCCCGGGTGGGGCCCTGCCCCTTAGGGGGCCTTAACATAGGAGATGGTGCCCGGTGAAGAGTCACTAACTTATTTAAAATGAGTAATTTTTAAACGTTATACAGTATTTCAAAAGAAAAACCAAGAGTATAAAAGAGGCAAAAAGTGAACAGAAAGTCTCTCCTCCACTCTCAGTTCCTGGTCCTGCACTGCCCTCAGGGTCCCCAATGTCCAGCACCTCTGGGTCCTTCCAGGGATGCCCTGAGTATATAAGCACTTACCAGTGGAAGCAGACCTGATGCACGGTCCTGCATTTTGCTTCGTTCATTTGATAACACATCTCTGAGATTATTCCACATCTACAAAGGAGCATTTGCCCTATTCTGTTCCCTTGCTGCAAAGTGTGGGGGCACTAGGATCTAATAGTCCCCTGTTGATGGGCAGCAGGTGCTTTCTAGACCTTTGGGGTTACAGTGTGGCAGTAAGCAACATGTTGTATACATTTTCTATCCACTGCTTTATGAGAAGTCTGCACTATGACCTCATTAATTACCTCCTACCTCTGTACTTGCCATAGTACAGAGCCTCCATCAATGTTTCTGCATTAATGATGATAGGTAACATTTATTAAGTGCTTACCGTGTATCAGGTACTATGCTAAACACCTTACATGGATCAGTATTTTTTCATATTGCCTCAATTTTAATTACTATAATGTTATTCTGTAAGAATGATATAAATTATATAAATGTGTTGTTACATACATATATGAACTTCTTATGAAAATAGATAAAATAATAAGTAATAATTAACGTGATTACCTCGATTTTATAGATGGGGCTGGATACCTGAGAAGTGGTAGAGGTGGGATTTGAACCCAGGTACTCTGACCCCACAGTCAGTGTGCTGAACCACCCACTCTCTTGACTAGTGTTGAGAAAGTCATCTGAGTTTCTAAGGGCGCTGGCGAGCCCAAAGTCTTTAGACCGAATGCATGAAAGTGGTGTATACAGTGGAGCTCCACAGTGAGCTGGGGGACGTCCAACCCAGAGTGGTGATCACGTGACAAATGCCCCCAGAGCACGTGCACATTGGCCCCCAATGACTCCAGCTCACCTGTGTCTCCGTCTCCAGACAAGCAAGGTGTGCCAAAGTCAGTACATTTAATGTGCACTCGTCAGATGTTTTGAGCACAACTCTTGTTTTATTTTTAGTAGAAGCAAAAGTATTTTCTGGAAGCAGCGAGAAGCAACAAGGAGAAGCACGTGTGACTTTGTCTGCTCCCCCAGTGGAACAGAAGCTGGTTAAAGAGTTCCTTCCCGATGGGTATAGCTCTCCAAACAACAACTGTCAGTGTAGCGACTTCTCTGAGCCCTCAGAGAGTCAACAGCAAAGCTTCCTGAAATCCGGAATCCCTTTATCTGGCTTTCTTTGCCCCTTACAAGATTTATGCACATTTCCACAGGAAGACAGTGATGTTCAGATAGAAGGAGTGTTCCCCAAAGGTAAGGAGCAAGGGAGGTAGGGTTGAGGTGATTCCGCCTTGATATTCATATGGAAAATGGTATGATGTCTTCCTGAGCCCTGGTCCATACAAGCTCACCTCATAAAGCTGTCCCTTCTGGACTGTGTGAGCTGAGAGCAGGCAGGACCTGCAGGTTTCCATGGTGGGTGAGTTCTCCCTCCGAAGCATGGAGAAGACAACCCTGTGTGGGTCAGGGATTCCAGCCCCGCTGCGCAGCAAGTCTGGATCCACTAAGGCCTAGAGGAAGGCCACATGGCAGGCTCCCAGGCTTAGCTAAGGAGGGTATGAGACGTTGGTGTGGCTGCTCTGGGGTCCACCAGGCCGCCCGTGGTCTTCCATGAGTGCCTAGCAAGGGTCCTGGCTGAGAGGTGCAGGCCCCGCCGTGTCCTCCAGGTAGGTCCCAATCTGAGCCTCGCACCGATGAGGGAACCAAGAATTCCAACCCGGCCATCCCGCCTCTAAGATCAAGCAGCTGACCCCTATTAATATTGCAGTGAGCAGCGATATATAAAAGAATATAAAGGCAGAATAGAAAAGAGATCTGTGGTGCCCAGTTTTCAGTGAGAAAATTTAGATCTCCTATCACTCTGAAGATTTTCCCAAACAACTATGGATGAGGACAAAAAGAAACCCACCAGGTTATACAGCTTTGGAATATAAAGGTTAAAAGGGCTATGGTAGTTGACAAAACTAATTTCACCTGGGAGCCAAGTTAATCCCTAGTTCTTCATCCATTAATATACTGAAGAAACATCGATTAAACACCTACTATATACATACCTACTGTGTGCTAGTCACTGTGCTCAGTGCTCCCTGACCTCCAGTGCTGGAGACACCAGGACCATACCTGTCTCTGTGCCGAGCCGTCTGGAAGCTGCAGGTGGCCACAGGTGCTCCACGGTGGGGACAGAGATCTCCTCCTCAAGGAAATGATTCTGAGCAGGGACTTGAAAGCTGACTAGAAGCTTACAAATCAGACCTGAGGGTGAAGAGTATTGCAGACTGAGGGAAAGGCATGCACAAAGCAAAGAGTTGATGGAAAGAATATGGTTGATTTGGGATCCAGGGGGGCTAGAGTGCTAGGAGGGCAGAGGGGGGCTTAGTGGGAATCTGAGGTCACACGGTCAAGTTGGAAAGTCCTTAAAACCCACTCAGGGGCTTTGAACTGAAGTCAAGGCCAAGCCTTTGAGGGGCAGAGATCTAATTAGATTCACTCTGAAGGAGATGGTCTCCTGGACGGTGGGGCGGGGGTAGCGGATGGGAGGCAAAGGGTGAGGCTGGGGGCTGAGGCCCTGCCAAGGAGCACAGACTGGGGAGGAGAGGCCACAGTAGGGAGACTTTGAAGCTACAAGAGAGCACTGATGTGAGCACTGATGAAGACGGGCATGCCTGCACCGCCCCTGGGGTGCAGGGGCTGGTGGTGGGGTGCAGGTGGGAAAGGCTGAGGCACTGTGGCATCCCTGTGGGTGAGGTGAGGCAGGAGAAAGTTCACAGCAAGAAATGGGGACAGTGTGGTGGAAGGTGTAATTAACTCTAGCTGCAGGGGACTTGGGGGATCGATATCTGGGCCGGTCGGTTAGGCTGGAAGCAGGCATAGGGGAGCAACAGGGAAATCCTCCAGGAAGAACAAGAGCAAATGCCCAAAGGAATGAAAGAGAACGATTTGAGATCCTCTAAGTAGTATGTTGTTGGTACAGAATGGAAGGCAATAGTTGGAAATGGAACATCCACCACGAATGAGCTACAAAAAGTCCGGGCTGCTTGCAGGACCTGTAGGTCTTAGGGAACATGGGTGGATTTTACATAGAAAGAGGACAGCTGGTTCAGGCCAGAGAGGATCCAGGCATGGATGGTGGATGTTCTAGCAGGGGCTTCAGGTAAGAGATTCAGGGGACCCTGGAGATGTGTCCTGTGGCCCCTCGAGCCTCCTAATGGCCACCTCTCCACTCGCAACAGAACCAGCTCCTGGCAGGCTCCTGGGCTGCCCCCATGGAGAGATGCAAGGTGAATATGACATGGTCCAGCCCGCGAGGGAGACACAGGCTTGTGGGGGTAAAGCATCCTGTTATGACCTTACCCCGTAACAGTGCTGCTGTGTGTGGGAAGCGTGTTCTGCCGTGAGAACACACCGCTGGTGGGATGGAGCCTGCTTTGGGAAGGGGGGCACTTCCTAAAGGATCGGGGCTCAGCCTGCAGGTTGGAGGTCACTGGGTACGGGAATCGAGGGGGCTTTGTGGCAATAGGAGGGCATATGGGTGAGGAGTAAGATGCTATTGGGTTTCAGAGCTGGGGAGGTGTTGGGAGGCTATGTTGGGGGGACGGTGCGGAGGAGGGTAGGGGAGCTCACACAGGAAGAGTGGAAGGGACAGTGTGTTCCTGGCGGAGCAGTTGGTCAGTAAGTGGTCAGTGAATACGTATTAATTCGTCCTTCCCCACACCAGAGGCTGTCCTGCCCAAAGTGCTGTTGAATCAGTGTGCCCCCTGACCTTTTCCACAAGGGAATGTCAATGGCCCAGGAAGTGGCCAGATCCAGCTGAGAGAGAGAGAGAGAGAGAGAGATCATTCCAATTATACATATAAAGCCAGTGGTAATCACTAGCAACTGAAGGGGAGGGATAAATAATTGAACACCGTTTTTCTGTCTTACATCATTAGTGTAGCAAACATAAGACAAATTAATACACTGTTCCCAAACAACTGAGCTATAATAATTGTACAGGACACACTTAATATGAAGCCTGGAATAGAAAAGTTTCTTTTCATTGTGAACAAAAGCGTTTTGAACCCTGGAAGCCGAGGGAATAGCTCCATGGTGTAATTAGCCGGTGCAAAGTCTGGCTGCCCCCAGACATGCCTCCCTGTGACCAGGGCGGCGGGGGGGGGGGTGTCTGTGGAGGCAGGATCTCATCGGCTTAACGAGCCCCATTAATAACCCACTGGTGTTTCTATTTTCCAAATTGTCTTCTGTGTCTCATGACTCTGAGAAGCCAGGAGGAAATCTTGCTGCCCCTCTAAATGGGATTCTAAATCTTCTCTCCCAGGGGATTACAAGTGCTGTGACTTGGTTGTAAAAATAAAGGAATGCAGGAAGAGTGAGGAGACCCCCGAGCCAGCTCCCCCGGAGCCAGCGTCCCCCGAGCCACCAGAGACCCCTGACCTGTCCGAAGACTGTTCTGAGGGTCAACGAACACCTGTAGGCTCCTTGACCTTGCAGGTAAGGCCCTCTGTGCACCCCGGCTTGATACCCACCAAGGGGAGACCTCTCCTGGGGAGTCCGTGGTGGGGGGGGGTCACGATCTCACTTCCACCTCTGAGACTGGAGGCTTGACTCCCCTTTGTAATGGCTGTGTGACCCTGGGCAGGTCCCCTAACCTTTCTGGGCCTCTGTTTCACGGTGTGAGTGATGCAGAAACGAGGTCTACTCCACTGGGCTAGAATGAGGATCGCATAATATCGGTAGTGACATCATAGTAGTGACAGCATTTCTTTTTTTTTTAACAGCATTTCTTGAGAAGTTATGGGTGACACTGCGCAGGTCACTTTATACGCATCAGGGCCTTCCATCCACGCCGCCCCCTATGGGGCACGGGTCCCTCTGACCCCATCTTCAAGCGAGGATATTAAGCTTTGGAAAGATTAAGGAGGTTGCCCTAAATCACGTGGCCATGAGCTCAAGGATGTGAAAGCTTTCATTTGGTGTCTGTTCCTGGTTGTAGAAGTAATACGTACACATTTTTTAAAGTTCAAAATCACAGAGATATAAGAATTAGCAAGGCAGACAACTCCGAGAAAGCTCCTGCTAGCAGCGTGTTGTATAATCAGGCATACTGTCTAGGAAAGGACTTGATAGACCATAAACATCCCTGCAGATGTGGGGACAGTGCCATTGGCCGGTCCCTGCACCCCGGGGTCCTTGGTAGGTCCATGGTAAGAGACTCATGATGCCCCTGAAACAGCCATGCTGGGCCAAGAGGCTGGTCCCGGGGCTCTCTGTGCAGCCCCAGTGTGCCTGGGACCACGGGACAGTGCCATGGAGACCAAGTGGCCAAGAAGACTCCTTTCCTGGCACAGCTGCCAAGGCCACTTCCAGGACACAGATGGAGCCTGAACTGCCCTCCCCGTGGGACCCTGAGCTCCCAAAGGGCTGGGGGAGGAGTGAGGCAGAGGAACAGTCTGCCATGGTAGCATATCCATACCCTACTATGTGCGGGGCTCAGGGCAGTGGCGGGAGGGCTACAGGGTGGGTGAGACCCATGGCATCCAGGAGCTCACAGCCCAGCATGGCCATCGATGTGTATGAATCTGTTGTACGAGGTGGTCTGTGAGGTACCACGAGGCTCTGGCTGAATGGGGAGACCCGACAGAGCTTACCGGGAGAGCTGGAGCGCTCTGATGGGTGCAGCTAGGGTATTCCTCCAGGCAGTGGAACCACCTGAACAGAGGTTTTCAAGGAATAGCAAGTTAAGACCATGGAAGGCAGTGTGGAAAAAAACGTGGAGGTCCCTCAGATCCACCAAACCACAATGAGCCTCGGGTTTTGCCTCTGTCAAATGGGGATAAGTGTATCTGCCATTCAGAATCAATGTGGGGATTCCCAGAGACAATGGAGCCACATGAAGTGACACAGAGTGGAATGCATCAGTGGTGGTATCTTTTTCAGTGGACCTGAGTATGTGCGTGGGTGGAGGGGGTGTGATTGAGGGATGTGGCCGAAGTGGAAATACGGCCATGCAGACATCCCCTACGGAGCTTGCAGAACCAGTTTGCATAGGCAAAGATACTTTGCCAACTTTTTCTTCCTAGGAATAGATGTTCCTGGTAGCCAAGATGACTGTTTCTCCTGAAAAGGCATGTATTTCACACTGGGTGGATGATCTCGGTCTGTGCGTGAGGCGTCCAACCCCCAGCAGAAGCAAGTGACTCCTAGTGCCTTCATTCCTTCCCCACCCATGTCTCTTCGGAGTAGGGAGTTCAGGGCCCTCGGACTTCGGTCTGTTGGAAACCGACTGGATTGACAGGGAAGAAGGGATGGGTAGAAGTGTGCCACCTTGCTGTCAGTGGCCAGGCAGTCATGCTGCAGTGGGGCCCTGGGGGCTGGCTGGGGTCGCCCCACAGGACCTACGTCGTCAACATGCCTGTCACAGCCTCCACACGAGGCAGCAGCAGAAAATCGTGGTGTGCGGATGCGCTGTGGCTGTCGGTCTTTGAATGTTGTGCTTTTGATCAGCTTCTTGACCAAATCAGAGGGATGTATCTCTTGCCCGCATCACGTCTATTAAAGATAAAATATTCTCTCGCTGCTGTTAGGAAGCCCTGGAAGTCCGGAAACCCCAGTTCATTTCTCGTTCCCAAGAACGGCTGAAGAAGCTGGAGCACATGGTACAGCAGAGAAAAGCCCAGCGGAAGGAGAACCTGGGCCAGAAGCAGAGTCTCTTTCCTGTCCGCGCCAACAAGAAGCAGTTCACGGTTCCCCACCCTCTTAGCGGTAAGCTACAGGGGGCTCGGGAGGGCAGGTGAGACTGGGGGGTCTGAGGGGCCTGGGACCTTCACCCACGGCGATAGTACAAATGATAGCTCTGAGATGCCCTGGACTCAGGTTTGCTCCACGCATCCAAACCGCGGTATCATAAAGCCTGCTCCGGAAGCCAGCCCATTGTGGGAGCTTCTAGAGAGCACTGAATTCAGCCGAACTAGCTTGGGACACAAACTTACCACTCTAGCTGGGAAAGAAGCCACACAACTGTAGCAGCCAGGGTAGCAAGTTCAAATTCTTGGCTCCTAACAGACATGTGCAAGCGATCCCCTTTGCCCTGTATAGATTGCAAAACAGATCTCAGGGTGAGAGGGTGACTCCAGCTTGTCTACATCAACATTCGTCATCTTGAAACCCTTTTCCTGCTGGGAGCTCAGAGAGTGGATGGCCAGCTTTCCAAACGCTGCGGAGCCAGTGTCGAGCTGACCCCGTGAGGGGCGGCACGCATACACTCGTTAGACAGGGAGTACTCAGGAATCTTCTCTGGGCCAGGCACCATGCTGGGAGCTGGGGATAGCACCGTGAGCCAGACTGGCCTTGATCCTTTCTTCCTGGAGCTTATAAACAGACCATTAAAGCAGCAAGAAAAACAAGAGATGAGAGCAAAAATGGGGACATCGGAGCACATACGGATGGCCTGCCAACTCAAATCTGAAAATCTGGAGGCCTGGGGAAACCTCCCTTTTATTCCTTTGGATAGAGGAACAAGATCTTTCTTCCTAGGAAAATGTTCTGGCCCCCAGGAGGTGAAATCATGAGTATAAATCTGAATAAAAGTCCTTTAGGAAAATAACCATATTCAATAAAATGCAGCTTAGCAAACATTACAGACATTGTAGGGGAGCCTGGGTGACAGAGGACAAAGGGTGTTATTCCAGAATTCCTGCTCACTTCCTTGGCCTGTGGGCAGGCTGTCTCCTTCATCCACCCATGGTGCTGCAGGTCATAGGACCCCGGGCAAGGGTGCATCCTTCTCATGGCAGAGGATTTAGCAGAACACCTGCTGCTCCTTCCCAGTGACGTTTTCCAGTATGCTTTTAAAAAAAAAAATCAACAAAATGAACACGCAAAGACTTTCCCTCTTTGAAAATGAGTCTCACCAGTGTTGCAAGCTGCTTAGCAGATCCAGGCTCGATTTGGGTGTGTTCTCCTGGGGACTAAAATCTCTGGCTCGACAAAGAGCAGTCTGGGTTCAGGTGCACACTTTTCAAGTCAGTAGGAGGAACCGACCGTCAGCCATAAGTGGGAGCCCCCCTGGGCACTTGGACGTCTGCGCTTGTCCTGGGAAGGGCTCCAAGGGTGCTCCTGATGTGTGGGCCACTTGGCCTTGACATTTCTGAAGATCCTGCCTGTTAAAAAATGGTTAACAAATGTGTTGTCAACAAACATAAAACAATGCCACTGTAGAGCTCAACAGATTCACATATGAAAAATGGCTTCTGATTAGCTTCTTTTTTAGTCAGATCCCTTTATTTTGTGTGGGAAGAAATGGGGACCCAGGGACACTCAGGAGCGTCTTCTGTGTGGGGCCATTCCTCAGCAGCAATGCTGGGTTCTTCATCCCCTGGGCCAGCTGCTTTCCAGCTTTGCCACACGGTGGGTGCCAAATCCTCCAGGATTACCATCATCACCAGTATTAGAGAGATGCCTGTTGGTTCTCCCTAGGGCTGCTTTAACAAGTGACCACAGGCCGGGAGGCTAAAATAATAGAAATTTATTCTCTCAGAGTCCAAGGGCCAAAAATCCAAAATGAAGGTGTCTAAATGGTTGGTTTTTTTCCTGGCGGCTCAGAGGGAGAATTCATGCTCTGCCTGGGCGTCCTCGCTTCTGGTGGCTCCTGGCAGTCTTTGGCGTTCCTTGGCTTATAGATGTATCACTGCGTTCTCCGCCTCCATCTTCACGTGGCCGCCTCCCCTTGTCTGTGTGTCTTTGTGTTCAAATTTCCTCATCTGAGAAGGACACCAGTCACGGGATCAGGGTCCACCCTCATCCGGTATGAACCATTCTAACTCACATGCATCTGCAAAGACTCTGTTTCCAAGTTAAGTCACGATCACAGGTTGGGTTGTGGGGTGAGGACTTGAACATGTCTTTTTGGGGAGACATAATTCTACCCACTACATTGTCCAACCGTGGCGTTTTCCCCTAAGCAGATCTCCTTACAAGCTCACATTCAATGAAATCTTTAAATGAAGTTCACTTTAAATGAACATCTTCAACTCGTCTATAATAAAGTGGGATCAGACCCAGTCAGTAGTTTTAAATAACCAAGGTACCTTTTTGTCCCCCCAGTTCTGAGGTAGCCCCAGCATGTAGGATGCTGTGGCCAGGACTTTGGGGCAGGGACTTTATGGCCACTGTGCCGGTCCCTGCAGTATTTATGTGTCGATGAGAGCTTTATGCTCCTGTTTGTTTGTGTTAGGTCAGTTAAAGCAGACAACTTCTGAAACCGGAGCCTCATGTAAGCTGGGGCAAGGGAGAAGGGAGTGTTTAGGGCCCCATTAAACAAATCTACAGTACACGTCTTGTCTTCAGCCTGTCTGCTGGCAAGATGATAAAAGCGAAATGCAGATGTTTTTCTTACATGCTAAATTTGTTAATAAATCATATGCGTGAACGAGCTCTGGCTACAGCGTCAAGATGTCCGTTAGAAGGAAGATGGGTCTGCTTTCTGAACTGTGCTAGCTGCCACCCATCATCAGGGTCTGTCCAGCAGTCTTGTCTTCAGCTCAGGTGGGCACTCTGGTGGCTGACGAATGCCTCGCCGGGCAGGGGCTGCCGGGACGATGACAGCGAGGGCCAGGGGGCCAACTCTGCTTCTTGTTGACTCATGAATTCTGAGCGGTTTTCAAGGCTCAGGGCAGGGACACGCATGTACGTGCATGCATGCACGTGTGTGTGAGTTCACTGGGCTCCCTGTTTGTAGACGGGGATTTGCAGGACCAACTGAGACTACAGAGAGACTAGGAAGTAGCTGATAAAGGTCCTGTCTACCGCCCGCCTGTCTTTAACTGTCTCACCAGCTGTAGCTTAAATTCCCAAAGCCCGTACACGGGTACGTCTCTGTCCTTGCCCGGAGCCATCTGGGCCGCCCTTGCGTGCCCAGGGCAGTGACCCGAGAGCTTTCTCATCCATCACTTAGCAGGCCTTTCTTGAGAACTCACTGTGAGGTACAGTCCCTGGTCTCACGGGCCTGCTCACCTCGTGGGGAAAGCACACAGGTAGAAGCAGCACTTGGGGCTGGTGGAAGGCTTCTGCTGGGGAGACCTCCAAACCGCATGGGGATGAGGCTACATCAGCACATCATGGTGCAGGGTGGTGGGGGGGACGGGATGGGGGGGGGCGTGAGGATGTCTGTTCAGCTCGGACTGAACTGCACAGTGGGGGGCCGCAGGTGAGCCCAGGAGGGCTAACAGGGATTGTAAATGCTGCTTCCAAATTTAACCTTATTCTGAGGTCAAGAGCTGAGGCAAGAGTGGCTCCAGGCAGGACAGGATGGGCAGGCCTCGGGCAGGGCAGTGGGATGCAGGATGGTGACAGATGGGATGGGTTTTGAGGTGGCAGCATCAATAGAATGTGGTGACTGCTGAATTGTGGAGGAGAGAAGGTGAGAGCCAGGGAAGCGGAAGGAGGAAGGCGAGAGGAAGGCGAGAGGCAGGCTTTGCTTGCGGTCTCTGAGGTTGTGGACTCTGCAGTCTCAGGGCCCCCCCCACGCCTTCCCACGTGAGGGCTCTCCCTGCTCACTCCACCACAGTTACTGGGCTGTAGGCAAGCCTTCCCCGTCATCACTACACAGCTCCCAGGGGCCCGGGGGTTGGTGGTGTTCAAAGGCTGACCCTAACCTGGGAATTGGAATGTTTCAGAATTAGTCATGCTTCTGCTTTACGGAATGAGTCTGGGCGGGGTGAGCAGAGAGCGGTAGGTTTAGCACCCTCAGGTGGAGGTGGTACAGCGCCTGCTGGGAGCAGGTGGCTCTGTACCCACAGGTGTAGGCATCCCTCACTATCCTCCGCTGACCAGTGTGTGGCTCTAGTCAGTTCCCGCTGCAGCTCCCCAGCCTCACCCTCTTCATCGCTGGGAGTCCAGCCCAGAGCCCCCCTGGATTTCATCCCCACCTTGTGACCTGGACCCTTCCCAGCCTGACTCTGCCCACCCCCACCCTCCCCAGCTGGTCTCCTTAGCTGTCCTTCCTTAAGTCAGGGCCCCTAAACCACCTGATAGAAGCTTTATCTGTTTCTCCTTGTCTCTGCCCTACAGAATCCTGCCTCACCTCACCGGCCCAGCCTAAGTCCAGCCTCTTCCTTACCTCTTACTCCCAAGGCCATTCCTTCTGCTTCCCGTAATGCCTGACCTACTCTGTGTGGTGTAGAGTGCTTTGCTCTTTATGAATCATGGTTGCTAGCAGCAGCCCGTCGGGAACCTGGCAATGCTCAAACACAGCCCAGGCTGCTGTCCTTCTGTCTCAGCTGTTTCTTCTCTGCCTGTCGGGATTCTCCTCGTAGCCCTCCCAGGTTGTCCCCCCTAACCTGCGAATGTGTAGAAAACCCATGAGGAATATCCCCTTCTTCCACGAAGCTCTCCCTGTTACTCCCATCCAGTCCCCTGCCCCCTTCCTCTTCCATTTGAGTGCTCATGATGCTTGTATCTCTTTGGATCCCCTACCTTCTTAGCTTCTCCGCTTTGGATTATGGTCAGGTGAGGATGCTAGTAAAGTCTCCCTAGATTGTAAGCGCCAATGGGCCCGCGCTGCACTAAACCACTCTGGGCAGCCCTGCTGCATGTAGCAAAACAGACTGAATTCATCTGAATTGCATTATCCACACTTCCCAAGGTGATCCAAGTCAGAGCCATTCAGATCACGGACTAGTAGAGGAACGGAATTCTCCGGAAGGCACTGCAGAATTCCTCCTCCAGCAGATCTGCCTTCAGACTGATGATCTTGGCTGGAGCAA